GGCCAGACAGTTGTCTTCCAAATTTCTTGCTCCTGGTCATCTGTAAATTGTGGGTGGTTGCATTATTCCCCTTGTATGGTGAGGAGATGGAGGCTCAGAGATCCCAGAGGCCGGGGACCCAGAGACACACTCCCAGCCTTGCTGCCCACACACCTCCCACCCCCAGTCTGTTGTCTGTTCTTCCCCTTTTTGAAGTGTTTGAATAGGTAATACATTTACATGACAAAAGTTCAAGTCCTACTGCTGAGTGTACACAGTGGGAAGGAGCTCTCTTTCTCCCTCCCTGGCTTACCTGGTTGCTCTTCTCAGTGTTTCGCTTAACCTTCTATGTGTGTATCTGATCCAAACTTATTTTTGCTCAAGTTGATATCTTGGTGCTAGAATCTGTTTTTGAAATGCTGGTTTAAATCTATGTGTGTATCAGCCCCATGGTGACACTTAGACCATTTCCAATGTCTTGTCTTCAGACCGCTGCAGTGACTACTTTCCTAGTTACAAGGAGGCTTCAACAAGTTTGTGGGAAAATGGAGTGAAAAGATAATGGAATTTTTCCAAACTCTTTGAAGCCCCCTTGTATGTCTTTGTAGACATGTGTGAGCGCCACCTGTAGGTTTAGTCTGGGAAGTGCTGGCCCACGAGGCGGGATGGAAAAGGAGGGTAACTGTTGAACCCTGACAGGCGCGCCAGGCCACCCACACCCCTTTGTTCCTGGAACTTGCAAGACCATGAGGAGTTTGAGTCCTCTAGCCTCAAACACAAACACAAATCAGGAAAAAATCGATTCTCTCTCTCTCTTCTTATTCAGAAGTCACAACAATTTGCCTCTCATTCGATTTGCCTCTGGAACTTTGTCAGGGTTCCAAAATCAAAAATCTCGGCTTTTGATTATATTTGAAAAGGATTTCTAATTCCTTATGCTTTCCTGACTAGAAATGTTAGCTGTATGTGGACGGATTCTGTAACTGCTTTTCTGTATGGACACAGTTTGATTTTAGCTGCAGGGTTGCAAAAACCCCAGAGAATTTGTTTTTTGTTTTTGTTTTATCTGTGATAAAAGCAGGCCCGGGGAGGCGTGGGCTATCTTGTCCCAGCCAATGGAGATGAATGTTGTCTCAGGTCAAGTCCCTGCCCCAGGTAGGGCCCTGCCAGCTGCATGTCGACCAGGTACAGCCACAGTCCCAGAGCCCAGGCAGCATTCGTCTTGATGTGTCTCTGCTGACAGATTGTCCTGTCCATTCCACAGGTTATATTCCGCTTTGCTCTGGCACTTTTTAAATACAAGGAAGAGGAGATCCTGAAATTGCAAGACTCGATGTCCATCTTTAAGTATCTCCGTTACTTCACGCGCACGATCCTAGATGCTAGGTGAGTCTCTCCGGGAACTCGTAGGCATGCAGGAGAGTCACATTCTGACTTCCACCTGCTTCAGAGCAGCTGCCTTCAAAGGTACAGCCAGCCAGGGTGTGTCTCATGTGACAACACCAACCAGAAAAAGGACTGGGGGACCTGTGAGCAGCAGGGAGCTTTCATAGACTGATGCTGCTATGGGCCACCATCGAATCATTTCTGACTCACAGTGACCCTGGATAGCGTTTCCGAGGCTGTAGATTTTTACGGGAGCAGAAAGCCTCATCTTTCTCCCGAGGAGTAGCTGGTGGATTCATACTGATGACCTTGCATTTAGCAGCCCACCGTGTAACCCGCTACGCTACCAGGGGTCTTTCTAAAGACTTGTTGTTGTTGTTGTT